ATTATTAGTAAATTAAACGAAGGATTCGTAAATTTTAAACCCGAATTATTTAATAACGCAAGTTAGAAAATTAGTAGCAGTAACCGTCGCTTTATATTTATTACTATATAAAAATTGTTCGGTCTACTATTTAAACGTAATACTTCAAAGTAGGTCGGGAATTTCTTTAAATTATTTAGTATACTAAGCTAGGTAGAGTTCAGTTCTACGGCGAATATACTCTACTTATAAATGAAGGTCCGAATAATATTTAATTTTACTAATAAAGAAGGATTTAAACCTATTATTAATATTATAATCGGGATTAGGCTAAAAGAATCCTATATTAATAGGCTTCTATTTATCATTTTAGTAGTTATAAAGTATAATATTAGAAATATACAGGATTCAATTTTCTAAACATAAATCGGAATTGCTGTTAGAATTATTATTCGGAAGACTACCCGGCGGACCCGGAAGGCCTCTCGGAGGGCTACTTCCGCTTCTACTGTTATCTGGGTTACTAAAAGTAATTAGGGTAACGCTAATAATAATTATTCCGTCCGGAAAGGTAAATTTGGCGGAATTCGGGGCTTTCGCTCTAACCGTATCTTTAGCCTAATATTAAGCGCCCGGAATATTAATAGCGAAATTAAAATTAGGGGTAAAGGGTATAATAGGCGCTATAGCGGGCGATTAGTCGGTAAAATTGTATCTAAACCGGGGATGGGGTTAATTGGAATAAAAGGAAATTGGGGCCTATTTTAAAGGGAAATAAACGAATTTAATACTTTATTTATACTATAATAGAAATCGATAATTTAAAGTTTCTTCGTATCTTATATTAATAAATCGTTTTCCGTCCTTTTATTTTCGTAATTCCATTTATATTTTAGGTTCGCTTTCGATAACCTCTTTAAAGGCAAATTGATTATATATATTGAGCGCCATCTTAACCGTCGATATAACGACGTTAAGTCGAAAATCGGGATTTTTAACGGTTAATAGCCCAGTTAGGGTTTTATTGAAGGTCCATAGGTAACTACTTGTTTTATTAAAATTCTTCTTAGAGCGGACTAAGGTTTTAATTACTTCGAAATTAATATTGTCGAATTTAGTATAAAAGGTTGAAGGATCATAAGTCCAATAGAAATATATTTTTTTCGCTCTATCGGTTTATTCGTCGGTCTAAATAATTAATAGGAACGATATTATAATAATTAGTAAAACTACGCCGCCGAATACGAAAGATAATATTATATAAAATAATAATAATAATAAGAATACGTAGAATTCGATTTTAAATTATATATACTATTTAATACAAAGTGCTTAGTATTTACTACTTATACTTAATTAGCTAGTTTTAATATACTCAAATCGACCGTAATAAACTCAGCCTCTAATTCTACGCTAAAGTCGATAAAGTTAGGCTTAATACTAGGATCAGTATCGAACTTAATAATATTGAAATCAAACAGGCACAACCTAGGACTTAAGTCAATAAACAGTTTCACTGAGCAAATACTTTGAATTATATATAAATAATTAATTAACCCTCTCCTTTAAGAGGAGAAAGGGCGAGTGACTATTTATATCTAGTATTGTATCTGGTACTACCGGACCGGACTAACGTCCGGCACGGAATGCCAAGTATACACCAGCCCATCCCGACGCGTAACAATAAAGGTCCTTAGTCTTTAATTCTAAATTCTCCTTCTTATTATATACCTATTTATTAAGTAAAATCTTTATATCGTTAGTATAAAGTATTAAATCGTAGACTTTTCGTTCCTCTAACGCTTAGACCTATTTTTACATTATTAAGTTCCAATATTTATTAAAATTAGTGAACTTTTTAACTTATCGATAACTCTTGGGAACTGCTAATTTTAATTTAAAATTATATATAACTTTAATTATAGTAAAATACAATAGTTTAATTCCTTTTTAAATAACCCCTGTTTTTTATAGTCTATAATAGAAGGTAGGTACAATAAGATTACTATCTCTATCCTTCTAAATTAAATAATTACTATTAATTACCCTCAATTTATTCGCTATAACTTCTATAATTAGAGCTACCCGTTTCCTAAGCTTACCTATCGCCATTATCGGTTCCGCTATAATTTAATCTAATACCGTTATTAAAATTTCTCAACCCGATAAAGTCTAATCCGATCCTATTATCGGGATTTTAAAGTCTGAAAAAGTTTAATATTATTCCGCCATCAGAGTTTCCGTCCACGAATTTAATAGAGGTCGCTCTATTATTAAAGTTTTAATTATTTTACCGGCTAAGGGATTTGGTAATAATCATCATTTTATTTAATATAATTAATTCCTCGAGGCGGGTATTAGTTCCTCCTCTTTAATATTATAAAGGTTAATAAACGACCTATAAATTAAAGATTTATTAAATAGGCAGATTTTATTAGGATCTAGTTTATCCCTCTCTTTATCGCTAAGAAATAGTTCTAATATATCCCCGTCCTTATTAAAGGATTAAAGTAATTCCTCCTCTTCATTATCTTCTTTATTATCCTCTTTATTATCCTCTTTATTATTTTCTTTGTTATGCTTTTTATTATTATCCTCCTCTTTATTATCCTTTTCTATTAATAGTAAAATATCTAAATCTTTCTCTATAATCTTTATCGGTATAGGCGATTCTTCGGACGGACTTTTCGAATTTAGAGGAGACCCTAATAGTTTTAATACCTCGTTTATTAAGCTTATGGAAGGATTTACCGGACTTAGGGGAGGATTCGTCGGTCTTAAGGATAGGGTCGACGGGCTTAGAAATAATATTTTCGGAATATTAGGAATAGGGATAGAATTCGAAGAAAAAGGTACGGGTATAATATTCGGCGAAGGGGTAGGTAACGTAATTATATTAGGTTAAAGTTTTCTTCTAATACCTAAGATCGTTTTTAATATTAAGTTTTTAAATACTATAAAAAATATCAATATTTTCGTCTTTAATTATTTATTAATTATCGTTATCTATACATTCTGTTTACTTTATAATATTTCCTTTATTTATTTAATAAACTAGTTTACGAAAATAATAGTATAATTAAATACTTCTTCTTCCGGGCTTTCTTTTAGTAATAATTCTAGGAACTTTACTATACTAGCTTTATTAAATTATTTCGTTTCTAAATCCCAAATTAAGAAAATCCTATTATTTAAATTACTATATCTTATTAAATAACCTAATTTTACCCTTTTAACGAATTTATTTCCTTATACCCGTCTTTCCTTCCTAATATAACAATACGCTATATAATCATACGTTCGTAAATATTTAATATTAAACTTAGGGTTTAAAATACTAATTACCCACTAAGGATTTTATACAGACTAATATATTTATTATTAAATTTTATAAGAAGTAAATTCATTACTTTAACTACAGAATCAACTACTAAAATCTAAAATTCAATAAAAATATTATACTCTAAAATTATTACCTTTATTTTTTCTATTATTACTCTTCTAACTCTTTCTAACACCCTATTCATTTAGGGAGTATATACTAGGGTTTTAATAATTTCGATTCCTTCCTAACGTCCCTAAATAATAATTGAATTATTTTAAAAATCTTTAGAACCGAAACTAAACTTTATACTACCGTCCAAGCCTAAGACTTTCACTTTTAAATTTATTTAGCATTCAACGTACTTCTTCCATTCTTTAATAGCTACTAAACCATCCTTCTTTTCTTAAATTATTTTAATTCAATAAAAGCCGTTAACTATACAAATAAAATAAACCATATATTTATATCTTATATAGCTAGGAATATTATAATTCTAAATATTAACCCTTATAAACTCCAAAGGATATATTATAATTAGATTAGAAACTTTATATACGATATCTATTAATTTACTCTTTAAATAAGTATTAGAATTATTATAATTCCTAATACTAGCTAGTTTTATGCTAATATCCTTATAAATCTTCAAAATTTATTCTTTTCCCGTATATATTAAACGGTATTATATAATATTGTAATTCATTATACCTAATAGGGCTAAACCTAACGCTTAACGATAATACTTTTAATCGATTAATTCCGGTAGTAAAATTAGCAAAATTGGTAGGTTATTCACGCAATAGTATTATACTTGGTATCCTTAGTATCTTTCTTTATTAAAAGCGAGCCTATTTATTTCTATATTCCAAACTATATAATTATCAATTAGACCCGTTATCGTTAAAAGGTTAATTGGCGTTAATAGGGAGAATATTATATTTTCAATTTTAATGACGATATAATCTCCGGAAAGTATTAGTAATTTTAATTTAACTACCCTAATATAATATAATTTCAACGATTAGCTATTACCAATTTAAGAATTTATAAACTTTAATAACGTGTATAATTCAATAAACCATTTAACGTCGTTAAAAATATTTAATATATAGCCGCTATCGAATATCACTATATTTGTTGGAGGTATCCCGTGTCACGTGCGGCCAGCCATGGCTCCCTTCTCCCTTCACTGGCTATGGCCCCACCGCACAGGGACCTCCCTTGCCCTACTTTTAGACCTCCAGACTTTACACATAGTCTGACCTCTACTCTACTCAATACATCACCATCATCATTGATTCGTTCGTTGTCGTTCAGCCTATTCACAGGTTATGAGCCCTCTTGACGCAATCATCGTCAATCCTTAATCGCATCAGCGATACCCTCATTTCCTCGACGTTGCGCGCAACCGATCAGGAATCCCCCCATCGCAGTCCTCGACGTCGACTCCACCGACAAGGCAACCCAGACAAGCTCAACGTTGCATCGCGACCGACAAGCTTCCCCCCAACTCATCTGCAGTACCAGCAATCTCGCTACACGACTGCGATCGAACCCCCCCACCTCTCGTCATCGTCGTCAAGTCAATCAGTACGACTGACACCTCATGAGAACCATTCACGGCCCGTCAGGTACATCAGCCGTTCCCCAACAGTCTATACCTCTTCATTTGTCCATGACAGCCAGCAACTACACGATGGGAGAGATCTCTTCACTCATCGTCCTCAAGGGCGAGTCCAACGTTGACAACTGGAATCGCGCGTTGCGCTGTGAGCTCAACTGCGCCGACATCCTCGAGTATGTCACTACCGACGTTGCTGAGCCGGACAAGGCCACCAAGCCAGACGAACACAAGATCTGGCGTATCAACAGAGCCAAGGCTATGAAGATTATTCAAGCCACCCTCAAAGATGACAAGGTCACCACTACCCTCAGTATCAACGGCTGGGACCAGGACAGCACCGACCCCAAGTATCTCTACGATCTCATCCGCAAGACCGTTGGCAAGGTTACCAACGAAGCTCGTGCCGACATCCTCGAGGAGTACACCACTCTCCGTCGCGGCAACTTTGACTCCATGGCCTCCTTTCTTGTTCACTATGACCTTCTGCGCAAGCGCGTTGCCGAGTGCGGCCTCAAGATTGATGACAAGGTTGAAGTTCTCAACCTCTACAACATGGTCAAGCGCCAGTACACTGTTGACGCTAAGTTCTGGGCCGCGGAGATGGCCAAAGACAAGCTCACTACCCTTCAGCTGCTTGCTCATCTGTCTACCCTTGGCAACACTGAGGCTCGCATGCCTAATCTAACCGTTCAAGTCCAGAAGTCTTCTACCAAGTCTGACGATAAAAAGGACACCAACAAGACCTCTTCGTCTAACAATAACAGCAACAAGGACCGTAAGGGCCACAAGCAGATCACCTGCACCGACTGCGGTCAGTCTATGCGAAACGATTTCAAGCACTTCGCATGCGGTCACCACCGTAACCCTCGTACGGCTGACTGTTGGTGGTGTGATCCCGACAAGGCTCCCGCCAACTGGAGCAAGAAGAAGGAGGCTACTGAGAAGAAGGCTAACTCCAACACTGGCACAACCGCGGCCACTGGAACTACCAATACCGCTCTGGCCGCTCCTGGTGCCACTGGCTCAGCTCTACTCTTTGGCAACTTTGGCTTTGGAGGCCATACTTTTGCCCACTTCAAGAAGGATTTGCATTAGAGTCCGTAGCGAAATCAAATCATGTTGATTCTACATCATTTCAACTACAGCATTCAACGTGCGATATCGCTGAAGTCCAACAGGCTCCTGAGGCAACACAACAACCTATGAAAGACTTGGTAGTCTACGATTCTGGTTGCGGCTCTAATATCTTCAACCATGTTAAATGGTTTACAGACCTTCAACCTTTACCAGAACCAGCCAAGCACACCATCGGTGATGGCACGGTTACCTTATCATTCCATATTGGCACAGTCGAGTTAACAATGCCAACTAACAAGAATGTCAACGTTCGAGTCCGTATCAAAGACGTCATCTACTCTCCTTCGACGCCAGCCAACTTACTGTCAACCAAGGCACTGCTTGAAAGCGGCTTGATTTGGGACATGAAGACCAACCAGATTAACCTCCAGAACCAGAAGTGCACTATTCAATGTGATTACATCAACGAGCTGGTAGTTCTTCCAGTAATTCAACCCTTCAACTTCGACCAGTCTAGAATCGAGACTAAGAACGTCATGCTCGCTTCTATCAACTATTCAACTATGCACAAGAGGATGATGCACGCAGGAAGAGAGCAGGTTATGAAGGCGTGCCAAGAGGCTGGCATTACCCTCAGCAACACCCATGATCACTTCTGTGATGGTTGTATGCGTGCAAAGGCTACTGATACTATACCCAAGCATGCTCATACTGTTACAACGATTACTCCGGTGCAGTTTATCCGTGGAGACGTCATTCAGCACAACCACCCGAACCATCTAGGACAACGATACTGTGTCCACTTCATTTGTGAAGCCTCTGGTCATCACTGGGTTGACTTCTGTACAACCAAGGGCGAGGCATTTACCAAACTGAAGCAGTTCAAGAAATGGATTGAGCTCCAGACAGGTCTTAAAGTCAAAGTCGTTGGACTCGACGGCGGCCCAGAATGGGGGCTTCCAACCAAGGAGTTTCAGAACAGTCAACTACACAAATGGGCCAACGAGGAGGGCGTTCAGATCTACAAGACGACTGCTCATACCCCATGGATGAACGGTAAATCAGAAAGAGCTGGAGCGATCATTATGGAGCGCTCCAGAGCCCTCATGATCGACCTCAACATCCCACCCCATCTCTGGTCCTTCGTTGTTCAAAGCGTTGTTACCGTGATGAATCTGATGCCCTCAAAGGCAAATCCAGAAGGCAAAAGCCCACATGAGCTACTCTGCAGAGCCATTCCTGGTTACCCCAAGGACGAGATTAAGCCATGGATCAAGCACCTGCGCACTTACTTCTGCACCGCGTACTATTACATCAAACCCCAGAAACGTACCAAAGGCGATAAGTTCGAGGAACGAAGCCGCCCTGGTCGTCTGATCGGATACGACGATGCCCATGGCCGTATCTACTGGATCTGGGACCCTGAAACCGGCCAGATTATTCGAGCCAGTGCCGTGAAGTTCGTCGAGACAGATCAACCAGAATCCCCAGAGGAGGAAGCTCTACAGCATGCCGTTGTCTTTAGTGATCAAACTGTTCAGGAGATCAAAGATGTCACTGACAGTGGAATCCAGTACTGGATCAACGTTACTGGAACCCGCGCGCCGGTAGATTCCCCAACCCCATCTAAACAGGTCACTGACAAGTTCAACCCCACTACAGAGAAGAAGGACATGGTCCTCGAGCTCCCGCCGACTCAATACCTTACTCCAGAAGCCACGAGATCTCCAGAACCGGGACCGTCGTCTCCAGAACCCCTTCCCGACTCCTCCAACGAACCAATGCGATCTATAGAGCAAGAGGAGGACTTTGTTGACCTCGACAACCTGGCCGAGGAGGATCCCATACCAGGAGCGTTTGATGAATCATTTGATGGGTTTGAGACTGCAGATGAAGGAGACACTGCTCCTGATGAGCACGCTGGTGCCGCAGACACGTCTCATTCCACCCCTCCCCCTCAAGATCAAGAAGCCCCTGCTCCCCAGACCGTTGTCCCCGTCAAGACTAAACAACCCGACTTGTTCCTCGAGATCGCCAGACTCCAGCTCGATTCCCCCACACCAGCTCAAAGACAACGAGCTCAAAGGCCGCTGTCAGAGTCTCCAGACCCGCTTTCAATGGAACAATCTCAACAACCAGAGACCACGGCAAATGAACCAGCTGAGCCAGAGCAGGCACAAGGAAGCCAACCCTCTGAGGAACCCGCTCCGGCAGTACCTCCAGAGGTAAGCGAAGGCAGACCTCGTCGCTCAGTGGCCAAGCCACCCGGTTTCAAGTACGACGTTCAGCGAGCCGTTGACGGTAACAACAACGTTGTTGATCCCAACCCGGAACTCCCCACCTTCTTCCATGGCATCGCGGAAGCTAGCCGTGTGACTCGCATCCCCGAATACTGCCTGACAGCCATGAAGGTGCTTCATGACCTTGCTTGCGCTAAGATAGACCGTATCATCCCCAAGAACTACAACCAAGCTGTCAAACTGGCCAACTACAGATCATACTGGTTGCCAGCGATGGAGAAGCAAGTCAAGGCTCTGGAGGATGCAGGAGTCTACTATTTGGTGAAGCGAACCCCAGAAATGCACGTTTTACCTGGCAAATAGGTTTATGATGAGAAGTACAATATCGACTTGAAGGAGTATTTGGCTCGAGCGAGATGGGTAGTCTGCGGCAACTTTGAACACGATAAATGGGATCTACAGGATATCTATGCCGCCGTCGCTAACTCGGTCAGTGTGAGACTCTTCCTTTGCATCATGGCCATCAACGATTTCGAGTGCGAACAATACGACTTCAACACCGCCTTCTTGAATGCCCTCGTTCCCAAGGATGGCAAGAAGTATTACGTTGAACAACCGACTGGCCTTGAAAAGAAGGATCGTCACACATGGGTATGCCAGCTGGTTCGAGCCCTGTATGGACTAAAACGCAGCCCCCTCTTTTGGTTTGAGACCTTACTGCCAGTCCTGAAAGCACTGGGCTTCACACCCATAGGTGCAGATTTGTGCCTCCTGGTGAACAATACCCTGGGTGCGATTATGGTTCTTTACGTTGATGACTTCCTCGTGGCAGCAGCCAACCTCAAGATTATCACCCACATCAAAGGAACCCTGGAAAAGAAGTTCAAACTCAAACATCTGGGCCCAGTAAGGACCTTTTTGGGCTTTGACATCGTCAGAAATCGAACTGAGCGCACCGTCTTTATTTCCCAGGAGCGGTACACCAAGACAATCATCGAGAAGTTCACCAAAGGTCTCGCCAATGGCCAAGACCTTCACCCGACAAAAACACCCTGGCCTCCGGACTTCAAGATCCACGGGGGTGAGAAAGTTTCTGGTCAGCAGAAAGCCTACATCAAGAGCACAGGCTCGTTGAACTACCTGTCCACTGGTACCCGACCGGACATCACGTTCACCGTCAGCAAGCTGTGCGAGGGTAATGCGAAGCCAACCGATCGTCGCATTACCGTGATGAAGCACCTTTATCGCTACCTGACTGGCCATTCAGATCTGGGTATTGTTCTGGGAGGACGCTTCTCACCGACTGATGGCCGCCTCGATCTGCAATTCAGGGCATATGCAGATGCCTCTTTTGCAGACAACATTCCAGACAGGAAGAGTACAGCTGGGCACGTCGTGTTCCTTACTTGCGGTCCCATCCACTGGAAATCTAAGAAGCAGAGCCTTGTCACAACCAGTACGACAGAGGCAGAGTTCGTGAATCTGGTTCCTACAGCGAAGTCACTGGAATGGATTGGAAGCATGTTGAAAGACCTGGGTCTTGGAGTCAACACCAACCAGATCCTTTACACAGACAGCGAGAATGCCAGGAACCGGGTGTTCAACGTAAACGTGCCGGCTCGTAACCGCTACATCGATATACGATACAAGTGGTTGATTCAGCAGGCGGAAATGAAGGCAATCAACGTGATCCATTTGGCCGGGGAGGATATGCCAGCAGACGGATTGACGAAGGCATTGAAGGCGGATAAGCACGCAAAGTTCGTGAAGTTGATTGGCCTTGTCCAGCAGAAGGTTCCCTGGACTTAAACACCAAAGGAACCATCATCATGTAAACAAACACCATGTAAATAGTATCTCGACTCTATTAGAGAGTCTTTCGGTCTACGGGGGTGTGTTGGAGGTGTCCCGTGTCACGTGCGGCCAGCCATGGCTCCCTTCTCCCTTCACTGGCCATGGCCCCACCGCACAGGGACCTCCCTTCCCCTACTTTTAGACCTCCAGACTTTACACATAGTCTGACCTCTACTCTACTCAATACATCACCATCATCATTGATTCGTTCGTTGTCGTTCAGCCTATTCACAATATTTCTATATAATAAAATTGCCTCGGGAGCTTATTAGACTTTAACGAAATTAAATTAAACGCTATTACTACTCTATATATATTTAGAAGTAAACGGTTCCAAATCTATTAGGAGCTCTAGTAAAAATCCTCTAAAAAATCGTCGTCGAAGGATAAACCGCCCAATTTAAATAATAAATTTAAATTAATAGCCGAGGTAGCTAAATTACAAATATTAGAAGCATTGCCAACAACCGCAGCAATTATTCCTCCTATAACCTTATTTTTCTCTTCAATAGCCTTCTTCTTATTCCTCTATCTATCCGGGGCCTTATTAAGGTCGCACTACTAATAATTGAAATACTCCAAAGTACGGTAATAACTACAAGGGAAGTATTTCCAACCCTTAACAATCTTCTTATTACATTTTTCGTAAATAGTACGGTTCCAATCGATACCCTTACTTCCATTATTCGTAGTCTTAATTTCAATTTTAATAACAACTATATTACTAAGACACTTCTTAATATTAATTAAAATCGATAGCAAACTTAGGAAAATTTTAATAGTTAGGAGACCTTTATTTAAATTAGCGGCCTAAAATTTAGTATTAATAGGATAAAAGTATTTAATAATATCGAAAAGATTCGTTAATTCGACAATGTCGTTGATTTTGTAATTAATATCCTTAATGCGTTTGCGAAGGGCTTAATAGCGTATGAGGAATAATTCGAAAGAAGTAAATAAAGAGTATTTAAAAGTTTAATATTCGTCGAAGACGTTGCTTTTAGCCTCGTTAGTAATGCTAGAGATACTATTGTGAATAAAATTATATAAATACTTCGGGTCATCGTTATCCTTATCCCAACTGTTAATTAAGGGACTTGCTCGGCGGGCAGTGTCACTTTTCTCCGCGGGCAGTGTATACTGCCCGTATAGTAAACCCTACCCTAATATTCCTCCGCGGGCAGTGTTATATTAAGGTAGTGCTATTTAGTAAGCGGTCTTTAAATTCTGCCATTCAGGTATAAGAATTAGGGTTACCCTCCTCGTTAAATCCTTTCAATTTGCTTCAAATAATTCGCTTTTTACTTTTAGAGTTTAAACTCTTGCTGTAGTTCCTTCAAGCGATCCCCTTACTCTTTCGAATTTTAACGAATAATTTGCCCGTAAAAAACGTATTACAATACGTTTATTACTATTTTAAATAGTAATTAGAAGCGGGAGGACTATAATACCTTTAAGAAAAAAGCTAGGAGATTAGGCGAGAGGGAGGGTACTTAAGTAAATAAATTAACTAATATTACTACTTGGATTTGTATCTTCTAATTACTTTTCTCTATTTATATATATATGCCTGGGCGACCTCAACACCAAGAAAATATTACAAAATATTACTAGAATATTGAAAATTACACGGAATATAATAAGGTTAGAAATTATTGTGATACTGCCTGCGGAGGGATATTAGGGTAGGGTTTGCTATACGGGCAGTGATATTGCCCGCGGAGAAAATGGACACTGCCCGCCGAGCAAGTCCCTTAATTAATAGGATAGACTAGATAGCTTCGTTATTAATAGTCGAGTGGATAATACCTTTAACTTTAGTACGATCTATATACTACTTGGCTAACGCCTTTATATCCTCCTCCATAATTGTATTCTTTACCTTGGGAATAGGAATCGAAATTGCGATATAAGGTTTTAGGCCGAAAGAGGCGAATTGAACGCGCAATGCGCGAACCCAAGCGTTAAAGTTAAATTTACCCTTAAGGGGAATTAAATTCGCAGTCGTATTATACTCTATAATATTGTACTAATAGCTAAAATTAACGGGAAAATTCACTAAATTAATAGGCGGAGTCGTAGTCTTTAGGTTCGAAGTCGAGGTCGTAGTTAATAAATAGAAGGTTACTAAATTACTGAGAATTTTTATTCCTCGTAGTAGGTCGTAATTTTATTATACGTTAAGGTCGATAGAAGATTTTTTATTAACGGGCGGGGTTTCGTAGTGTAGCGTATATACAAATTATAGTACAACGGCGATTTAATTAATGGGGCGTACAAAGTAATTAAAGCGATTACGATATTGTAATTAGAGGGCTTATACCTTCTTGGATTAGAGGGTAAAATGAATGTGTAGATGTGTGTGCTATGGAGAGAAGACTAGAAAGGGAAAAGAAATGTGGAGGGCTAGAAATATAGGAAGGGTGTGAGGGTATGGACCTACACGACAAGACAAACCTCTACACGTACCAGGGTCCCCCCTATAATTAGCCTTAGTATAACCAATAGAATGATTCGCATTTTCTAATCTATTCTATGCCTAGAACCTCCATATATTTCATTCCAATAGCTTTATAAACTACCTCGTATATAGTACCCAGACCTAGTCTACCAGCGCCGTCACATTACCCCCCCCTACACAAAAGACTCGTCTACGAATTTACTAAATAATTATATAGAATATTATAAATTATATTTATTTCTTCCTTATAATACGCCGTAAACGCTTTAATCCTTCTGCTTCGGGATATTTATCGTCGTCGTATTCCTCCGTATCTTCGTTAAGCTAATTTATTAATCGTTTAGGCGGGCCCGGGGCATCTAGGTTAGTTTCGTAAAAGTCCTAAAGTGCCTTCGGTATATATTTAAAATTAAAGGTAGAATATTATTTTAAATCGGGGTGCTAACTTCTCTAATCCGTATAATAGAAGAGCTTTTTATTAGCTACCTTAAATATTATAATTTTATCGATTTCCTATTCGGGGTTTCCGTTTTCGTCCGTATTAACTGGGATGGGGTATTCGAATATTTATCCCGGGAGTAGGTTATTATTGTACTTCTATAAACGGTCCGTATAGAAAACGTTAATACCCTTCTAACTTTATAATAACTCTAAACGGTAAGAGTGCCCTACTTTCTTAATAATCTTATAATAATTATAAATATTAGGGAAATCGAATTTATTATTAAGTTAAATTATTGTAGATTAAAGCCTTTTATTAATAATAACTTTATTTCCCGGTTCGAAATTGGGTTCCCTCCGCTTCTTATTAATTTACGCCGCTTATTATTCCTATACCTTTAATATCGTTTCCTTAACGTACTTAATATACCCTTAAATTCATTAGGCTTAATTTTACGCCTATTCCTAGGTTACTTACTCCGCCTATAGTATATTAGGGTCCTAAATGCAGGCATCCTAGTCGAAAAGTATTCTTATCGGGTATCCAAACATAATTTCGTAGGGAGATAGGCCTACGCTATCTTGGGGAAGGCTATTTTATACCGCGTCCAAAACTAGGATAGTTTTAAATTAGTCGTCTTAATAATAATTAATAAAGGGTCGGAGGCGTTAGTCGATATAGGTATTTGTAACATCCGCTTGGCCAGCTATCTAACTATATTCCGCAATAGCCAGCTTTCACCTTATTTTCGTTAAATTTAAAATCTCGTCCGTAAACTCGGACGTAAATTACGGACCTCCCTCGGAAATTACTTCCTCTAATATACTATAAATATAGTAAGGTCCCTCGTAATATATTCGAATAGTATTGCGAACCGTGGTATTTTCTATATAGGGGGTAATTCAAGAGGACGTCGATAAGCGGTCGATTATTATTAACGTATTATCGAAACCGTATTTATCCTTTAATATCTTCTTAAAATTTATAATAATAAATATCTACTTCCGGGCTAACAGGGGAATTGGGTATAGTAAATTTAATATTTTATCCTTTAGGACTTTGTTAACTTTGTATATGGAGTATAAAATTTTTTATAAAACGGTCGATATTTCCAACTATACGTAGCTACTAATATTGCATCTTAAGAATCGCTCGGATTTTATTCCTTTTTAAATAGGCCGTAATTAGCGTTAAATAAATAATACCGTTGAGAGGGTATTGTGAAAAGCACAGTATGTGTGTTTGTTTGAATGTATATAAATTGATAATCCGAAAGAAGAACTAAGAGCAAGAAGCTCGCGTGCGGTCGATGACCAAATAGAGTGTACGCGAGTCTTATCTAATTTATAGACCTATATAAGTGGGGTGTGTAACCTGCAGCCGCGGTTCAATCAATTGAACCGCCAGTGCAGTCGTCAGGGCGGCGCCAAGGCCTCGCAGGGCACGTGCACAGGTCAGCTGATCTGACATGTGACAGCACGATACCTTTCCGGTATCAATAAATTTCGTCGATAGTAATACGGGTACGTAGGTTATCTAATTCGGGAATGATTAAATAATCTTAATATATTAGGAATTTATTGATTAATATAATTAAATTAGGGTCCGACCTATAAGCGCGAACGTAATATTTTTCTAAGGATTCGTCTTTGCAATTAATTTTTTTAAACGTATTTATTAATTCGTATCCCTCTGATTCTACTAGATTTAATTCTATACCCTCCTTATTTAATATTATAATTAGGACGGATTCTTTTACGAATCCGTCGGTAGTTATAATAGAGGTAATTATAAATACTTCGATTCCCTCTTCCTCTACCGGTTTAAATATTTAAAGGGTATAGTACATATGATGGAGGCTGGAAGGCGACAACGAAAAGGGCTTGATTGTAGTTGTCTAACGGAAGAGGAGAAACGGAAACCAGGGCAGCCTAAATACCTGGAAGGGAGTGCCGGTAATGGAACGGCCCAGTGAATGGGCAAAGCCGGTGAATGGGCGGCCCAGGGCACGGACTTCCAACAAATAATCTGACGTTATCGATAAATAACTAAAGATAAGGAAGAAAAAGGAAGAAAGAGTAAGAAATGCAACCTCGAAGAGGGCATGGTTAAATACATCAATGCAGCCAATGGCATTACACGGAGGCATGCAGCCAATTAGGAGGAGCCTTGGCGTGAGCATGGACCAAGCCATGACATTACCCCGCCCGCGGAAAAAGACTCAGCCCCAGAGTCGACCATATTTGTTATCCATCTATTTATCTATGGGAAAATTGTTTATCAAGGTTCTCCTTCTTGAGCCTCAATCTCTAAAAACCTTATCCGGGACGTCATTTTCCATCTTATCTTCAATGCCCTAACCCATCACCATAGTGTCGGCGCTCCAATGTCTTCTCAAAGTCTTCTAACGAATGAGAGGCTCTAGAATCATAGCTCTCATCCGAATCGTTGCCGTCGTCGTCATCGTCCAATGCCGAAATGGTATTGAGGTAAGTACGTGAACCCGAGGCCTTAGTAATGATATTAATATCCATCTCATCCTTGTCTTTGCTTTTGGATAATAATAATGGAAAACTATACTTATCCTTTCTCTAGTATCCGGTAGCCTCTTTAAGCTTCTACAAATACTCGTCGTACGTCTTCGGGATAGGTTGAATTAATTGCGCTCTCGTACGAATTTAGTTATTGAGAGCTCGTTGAAGTAGTAAGATCTTTATTAATTTTGGCCAAGTATTTACTTTTACCTTATAACGCAACCTTTTGAATTTAGCTAAGAAAATAGAAAAGATATTGTTTCCTTGGGTAATTTTATGTAAGGTATCTTCGGCTTCCTAGACTTTATTCGGATTATTAAAGACGCGAATAAATTAGTCGAGAAGATTTTGGGGGTCCTAATTCGCTACTTCCGCAACTATAGCTAACTATAGCATTACTAAGGCCTGGACCTTTCTATCGAAACGAGAATAAACGTAATAAAACCGAACTTCAACGTTACTAATCGCGGCCTTATTAATACGTAGCTTAGCCTCGATTGCGGGAAGCTAAATCTTAAAGGAAAAGGGTGCTCCTACAAATTTCTCAAGATCTGGAAGCGAGGCCTTCGATTTAGAAGATAAAGAAGCTTAGCTTCCTTAAATTACTAAAATAACCACCTAGCCTTTAAGGTTGTGATACTCGTTTTATAAAGTGTTATAGGAAGTTTATAAAGAATTTTGAAAGGTTTATAAAGAATTTATAGCCGTTTAAAATATAGAAATTTAGTTATACAGAACCGTTATAGGATTATTAGCTATAGTAAAAGAGGTTGGATAAAGTTTGCGAGAATGAAAGGGAGAGAACGGAGTTAATAGGAACGAATTAAATCGAGGTTTAAAGAGATAAAAAGAGGGGAAAGAAAGTGTTGAACTTCTACATGAAGAGGGGAAACTTGGAAAAGTTATATATGTATATACAGATCTAAGAGATTGAATGCGGCTCGAACTAAGAAATTGAATGCGGCTCGAATTGAATTCGGATCCGGGCCGGCGGTTCGGAGTAGAATTGAGTTGAGGCTCTATCGGACCCGAGCCTACGGTAGCGGAGCGGAATTGGGTTTCTTAATGCCGAGATGAGATTGCTTCCGTCGTTTGACGTTATAGTAATCGGTAGTGCTCTATAGATTTAATCGTAAACTAGTCGCTCCTTCCAATTAGGGTTCAAGCCCTATTATCCGGACTACGAATTTAACTCTGCCCGTCGGTGTAAAAAACGATTAAATAAAAATCCGGGTTCCCAAAGCGCTTAAAAAAAGGTTTGAATTGAATTAGGACTTTTCAAATGAAAAAATCGGACGAAAGGCCGTAGCATCAATCTAATCTTCAGATGAAAGAAGGATCTTTAGTTAGGTGTTACGTACATAGATTTCGAAGCGGGAGTGTATACGAATAATTTGACGTTATCGATAAATAATTAAAGATAAGGAAGAAAAAGGAAGAAAGAGTAAGAAATGCAACTTCGAAGAGGGTATGGTTAAATATAGGGCTCTACTACTCGTGCACTAGTTGTTGTGTTAGTCGTGCACTAATACCCCCAGGGGTTAGGGTTCTGTGTGTGTAAATATCAGGGTGTGTTTTTGGTGATACCGCCCATGGTGTTGATAGTCGTAGAACTAAGGCTCGTGCCCGCCAGCCGCCTAGACCAGCCGCCCGGACCAGCCGCTTAGACCAGTTGCATGTGCCTCCCCCTTTCTTAATACATTACCGATATCATCATCGCCAGTTAATAAAGATTATAGGATTATTCAAAATATTGCACTCTATACAAATCTCTATACATTTTTAATGTATATTAATCGCAGACTATCGTGAATAGTATTTATAGGCAATGCGCTATGGTGTTGATTCTGCGCGCGGTCTTTTTGGTTCGATTAATCTTGTTAGCGATTGATTGCGTTTAAAAGGGTAGAAGTTCAAAATCGCCAAGTTCACATACCTGACACGTATAACTGGGTCTGGGCGGCTGGGTCTGGGCGGCAGGCGGGCACGAGCCTTAGTTTTACGACTATCAACACCATGGGCGGTATTACTAAATTAATAACCCAAAATCTGACCATAGAGAACCTTAACCCCATGGGGGGATTAGTGTACGACTAATAAAAGGATAAGTGCACGAGTAGTAGAGCCCTAAATATATTAATGCAGCCAATGGCATTATACGGAGGGATGCAGCCAATTAGGAGGAGCTTTAGCGTGAGCACGGACCAAGCTATGATAGGATTTAACTTTCTTAAATGAATTATTAGTATTACGGGGGACGCCGTTAGGTATGAGATATGATATACGTTATTGCACGGAGGAAGCTATCTAAATATACATAGCCAGGGCTAAAGTAGGGCATAGTAGCAATATAGGTCTCTAACCCACCTAGTATATAACTTCTACCAAAGCTACACAAGCCAATAGCCCAATATAATATAGTATAGTACAATGTAGTGCTATAGCAACTAATATAGGGGTTTGCCCTATAATACTACCCTCTACCAAAGAAGCTCCCGCTTCGAAAATCGCTATTTACATTAAATTATCCTTATTCCTACCAAATAAATCCCTCTATAGGTACGCCTAACTAAATATCGACAAAAACCCTTAACGTACATACTAAGACAGGAAGCTACTTAGCGCTTAAATTCTTATCCAGGGGCAAAATACTAGCCAAAATATTACTAAATATAACCCTTCCCTCGAAATATCTCTCATTACACCTAATAATCCTTCTATACTTCGGGAATGTACCCAAACTACTTAAAATCGTCTATATAGACCCGATAATTCGTCTCTCCTATTACCAACCCCCGTAAGGGGGTACTATAAAGGCCCTATAATATAGCGGCGTACAAGGACGCTCAAAGCGCCGCTACTAGTATAAATAATATAGAGACTATATATTCGAATCGTGTTTATACCTCTTTCTTTCTCTTTTTTATAATATAATTATTAAAACGCTCTATTTATTTACACTAACGTCTCACAACCATTATATAATTTTATCCGAACTAGGGAGATCGATCTAGGGAGACCTATTTACAAATGTCCTATAGTATAGTAAAGTAAAGAAATTAAAATATAAGAAAATTTCGGACTATCCCTTAAAGTAGGTTTAAAAAAATTTTTTCTCTACAAATTTAGGGTAGGGTTCGCGCTATAAGTCCTAAATTCTTTTTTATCTTTTTTTTAATCTTTATCCTTTTTCTTTATAATTCTAATATTCCTATAAAGAAGTAATAATAATTCCTTAGTTAATTCCGTAATTAATTCCGTAATCGGTAATAATAATTCTAGTAATTTCGTAATTGACTGCTTCTTTACCTATATTGGGAGAGGTAGTATATCCGGGTTAGTATTATAAAAATCCTAAATAGTATTATTGTAACCTTTAAAGTCCTTTATTAATTATTATAAAAGTTCGTCGATATCCTTCTATTTAATATAATATATCTATCTACTGTTATCCGTTTTACTATAGCCAACGATACGCTCGAACTCCCATTCCTACGTGTCATTATTGTAATCGTCTATTTTTATTATAATTCAATTATAATTTACTCTAATATCCTTATCGATTTCCTTTTATTTAAGAAGCCCCGCCGCATCCCAAAATCTAATTATAAATATATAAAATACCAGGTTGACCTTCATGTTAGTTGGCAAACGTAATTTAATATAATATAAATCCGCTTAAATAATAACAAATAAACTTTCCTATCTAAAAACAAATTTAGCTTAGGGTTTACCAGTAATTAAATTCTTAATATTAAATAGGACTCTATCGCCGACTCGGTATTTCGGGGCATCGGACCGTTTAATATTCGTATTATCCTTGTAGCGGCTCTATACTTATTTAGAAAGGGTAATTACTCCTTCCAAAATAGCTTAAAATTAATTAGCGACCTCTATTCTTCTAAAGAATTCCCTCTTTTATGCGTTAGAAATATTTGGAGGGTACGGTTTTATCGGCTCAACTCCTATATAAAGGTAATAACTATAATTAGTATAGAAGGGTATAACCCCCGTTATTCCTAATACTATATTATTATATACAAATTTAGCTAGAGGAAACCAATCCGCCCAATCATTTTAAACCCAATTAATATATAGCTTAAAATATTATTCTATCTCTATATTAATTCTTTCGGTCTATCCGTTAATTTAGGAATAGAAAACGGATAATAATTTTACTACAATACCCAACCTCTCGCAAAGAATTCTCTAAAATACTAAAATAAATTAGGAGCTTCTATTTAATATAATATTATCTAGGAAGCCGTAAATATTATAAACCTTTTCGATAAATCGATCTACCAATTCTTACATTTCCAATGTCTCTATAGGTATATAATACCTTATTTTGGTTAACCAATTGACTACTACTACTATATATCTATATATCTTCCCATTTCTCTCGTATAGAATTATTAGTATAATATAATCTACTAAGACTTCCTTTTATAGTATAAAAAGTACTAAAAATAATTTTAAATAACCCGCGGATAAATACCGTATAAATTTAGTCTTTGCACAAACCAAATAAATTTTATAAAACTCCCTTACCGACTAATATATACCTAATTAATAATAGTCTATATCAAACTAGGCGTATATTTTCTTACGGCCCGAATAACCTCCTAATTTAACTATATATTATCTATAAATAAATAATGGCTAAGTACTAATATTGTCCGGGTCAATAATAATTTTACTATTTTAATACACCCGGCTTCATTATACCCTACACTCCGTAAAAGCGAATTTAAACTTCTATTTAATTTTTAATATCTATTTCCTTCTATTCCCGTCTTCCAAATTAACAACCATTTCCTATATCAAATTCGACTTCAAATAATTTTCGTTAATCAATTTATATATAGCTTTAATTGCAACCAATTTATACTAATTTAATATAGCGAATTATATTCGATAAAATTCTTTATCCTTATCTTCGAACCCTACTAATTATATTTTACAAAATTCTTCCTCCTCCTCCTCGCTTTCGAAATTAGCGCTAAAACGTTCGGAGTTAATTAGTAAGCGTTTCCGTACTCGGAATCTATCGTCTTCTTCACCCTATAGGCAGTCTTCTAATTTTCTATTTAACGTATCTAGCCGGATATTAGCTACCCCTTAGCGGTATATAATACTAAAATTGAATCGACTTAAGAATTCTAACCAGCGTATATAGCGAAGTATTAATTATTTTATTATTCTAAACGTTTTAAAATTCTTATAATTAATAATAATCTCAAATTCGTCTTAGATACTTTCCAACTCTAATTTCTATTCCTCTAATACTTTTATAA